TACTTCCCTCAGTTAGAGCATTGAAGATGGGTTGAGGCTGGGTCTTCCAACATGACAATGACCCAAATAAACCAGCCAGTATAACTATGTAGGGGCTCAGGAAGAATCATGTCTAGGTTCGGGTGTAGCCTAGCCAGTCTCCGGACCTAAACCCAATGGAGAATCTTTGGAGGGAGCTCAAACTCTGTGTTTCAGAAACCTGACTGATCTAGAGAAGATCTGTGGGGAGTAGTGGGCCAAAATCCCTCCTGCAGTGTGTGTAAACCTGGTGAAAATCTACAGTAAATTTTTGATGCCTGCAATTGCAAGCAAATGCTACTGTACCAAATATTAACATAGATTTTCTCAGGTGTTCAATTACTTATTTGCATCTGTATCATACAAATAAATAGTTTTGTGATTACTGGATTTTATTTTTAGATTATGTCTCTCACAGTGGATATGCCCCTACAATGGCAATTTCAGACCCCTCCAGGATTTCTAAGTGGGAGAACCTGCTAAATAGCAGGGTGTTAAAATACTTATTTTCCTTACTGTATGGTGAGACGATTGCAGAGTGTCCTTAGTTTTTTTTAAAGGAGGGATTTTAATTCTGTTGTCCTCATGCATCTGATTCAGTCTTTGTCTCGGCTGAAGATGAGTGCTTGCATGTCATCTTGTGTGCTGTTTTACCCAGCTCCTTCAAAGCTTTAGTCTGTTGTGATATCATAATGAAGGGTGTGCCTTGAAGGATTGGATTTAGTCATTAGACTTCCAGACTTTCAGACTTAGTTGTCAGAGTAGCTCTTTAACTTTGTATTTAACTCTCTAGTAAGGACCTTTTGCCTACGTAAAAATGTTTTCCCTCAGGTTCTGGTCTACCATCTGTTTCCCAATATAATCCATCATTTTCAACTCTGGGTGCGGACAGGAGTAAACTGAATGTGGATCAGTGCCTCTCCACCCTTCTCAGGTGGAGGGCCGATTATATCCCAGAACAAAGGATTCTAGATCAAACCAAAACCGCTGATGCGAATCAGCTGGCTCAGAATGGATACCCAAAGATTCAGAATATATGCTTTAAAAATAATTCTAGTCATTTTGGTGACTGTATTCAGTAAATAGTTAATTTCTCTTCCCTGTGAAGATAAACTTGTACCGCATTAAAACCATTTTCCTTTTTTTTTTTTGCTTTTTTTTTGTCTTTCCTTCGAAAGTTTATTCTCTTTTCAAAATCCCAATCAATGTCCCAGTCTGCCACTGCCCTTCTTTTGTAATGATTAGAGGAACTGTGGGGATCAGACCGGCACTGATGACCTTTCCCCTCCTTCTTTCCCTCCTTTTCCCTCCACACTCGGTGCCAAGCACACTTTCGCTCTGTTCGGTGGTTGCCCCCCTTTTTTTCTACCTGATCCATGCGCTGCTTTCATGTAATGGTAGCAATTATCAGACAGAGACTTTAGCCTCACCCGCTCTAGTTTCTTTCAGTTGTTTAAATTCCTCTGGGAGCTAAATTAAAGCAAGTAGATTAAAGCAACTACATGCCTGAGGGTTGAACCAAAGAAATTCTCTACTTTTTGTTATTTGAACACAGTAACTCTTATGAAATAGGGCAAATATTAGTCTCTTACTGAAAATGTTTTTGCCTGAGCATGGATTTTAAAATACTTGAGGAAGTGTTCTTAAACATTGTATAAAAAGGTCCTAAACCAGTTCATATGGCGAGATCTAGGTAATGACCTTCCAAATGTTGGGTTTTGGACTGATTTTCATTTGAGAACTGTCTTTTTTTTTTTTACAAAAAGCTAATTTGGTCATCAAAGTATATGCATTTATTCTATATTCGACTTTTATTAACCTCACAAAAGGTGCAGGAAAGTAAATGTTGGTCAATGCATTTATAGTCCTAAAAAGTGAGAGTTCTTAGTTTTTGTTGAATTTAAGAAATATAGAAAGATATTTCCTATCTTTTTGTATTTGACTTGCTGCAAAATCCTTTGGCAGATTTTTTTGGTGCATCTTCAGTAGTGATCTTTGAGGGTAAAATATATTTAGGCTAACTTCAGGTTAATTTAATGTCTTTTCAGCTGTAGCTGTAGTTTGAGATAATAGTTTTGGAATTCTTTGTAGTACTTCTTCATGTGTGCATTTAAAAATACAATTCCCATGCGTCCTTTCTCTCTGTTTGCAGCATAATACTTTTTTTTTTTTTCTGTGTTCTGGTTTGCTTCGGTACAGTAGGATTTTTTAATGCATATCTTCAATAAATATGTATGCTTACTTTATTCTGGTAAAAGGATGTTTAATATTTTCAGTTTTCATTTTTGATTTATGAACTTTTAGTTTATGTTCTTTGTGCCATAAGTTAAAAAGCATTCACAGGGTGTGTATTTCAGGGAGTCTTGTGTATTTTTGAAGGACCTCACATTGAGGACCATACTTTCCCAGGCCTCTGTTACATTTTGTCGGGACCCATCTGACCAGGTGATGATTTCTAACAAGAGCTGCTTTACCCTTACTATAAAGCTTATGGCCAATAAGACCTCTGTCATATGAGCTGATAAGCCCTCCAATCTCCCCCCTCAAAGCTCTGTCCTCATCTACCTCTTTATCGTCTAACCTTCATCAGACCCCTACCCGAAACCTCTTTGTTCATCCTCACTGCCCCATCTCTCCCTCATAAGTTGTGCCACCATCAGCTGCCCTTTTTATCCACTAATCACATTATAAAGTCAAGCGACAATCCCAAGTGTGACCCCCGCCCCCCTAAGAATGACCCTCAAATGATCCTTATATATGACACCCTTACTGGTCATGAGGCTCGCAGACTAAAAGGTAACTAAAGGACGGATTTCTTTCCCGCATGTGACCCATCGGCCTCAGACCAAACCTCCAACATGTGAACAGATGCATGGGGTTATAAAATGTTAAGAACTTCATGTATTTAAGCTTATATCTCACAAGTAGGCTTATTCTACCTTTCTTTGGTGCTTTGGGGTAAAATCTTCCCATGATTTTCTGTACATATCTAAGGAATTCCACCCATTGAACTTAATGCTAATCTGCAGCTCACATGGGGTTTAAAAGGTAGCAAGTCTGTGTTTTCAACTGATAAAGTGCTGTGGCTGAAAGTATTTTGTTCTTATTTATATAGAAAGTAACTTAAATTCAATCACTGGTATTTTTTTTTATATAAATCCGGTAAATTGAACTAGTTAAAAGTACCTGCAACGAGTAATAAATATGTTTGTAACTTCAGGTCTACAATGTTGGATGCAGTGACATCTAGTGACATAAATGACAGTTTGCAACCAACTCATCGCTGCTAATTTACCTTATCCTCCAAAACTGGCCACAAATGGAAAAATTTCTACTAATTCTGTTTGAGCTATAATGCAATATATCTATTTTTATGGATTTAGATTACAACCATGATGTTGGATAAAAGACTCAAGTCGTATATTGTTGGATTACGTATATTACATATTTTATACTATCAGAAGGTCTTCCTTAGTGACAGTTATGCTTGGAATGTTAAACACTAGTTTTGCTTTAGGTTCTCGTTTTATGATCAATCTACTGTAATTGCAATGGTAATATAACAATTTTTTCTGTGGGGATAAAGCTAACATTTTCTTAATTTGACTACATTTTTCAAATGTTTTCTTTTTCCATCATTCAATCATTTTATTAGACCATAGATTTTTTTCAGCTGTCAAACTCTGTTTTATTTTATTTGAAGTGTTTTAGTATCCCTTTTATATCTAATTATACTTCCTATTTTATCTATACAACATTTTTAATTTTCTTATTTTTCTCATCACAACTTGGGTTTTCCTTTAAAACTGGATGTGAATTGTCCTCTTTTGTATGTTTCTTTAAAATGAATTTGGTTTCTCTCAATGTAGTGTAGAAAATATATTGGAAATCATTTAAATTTAGCCTACAGCTGATAGAAAGTAAAAACTTCTTACCTCAGGGGTAAGCCACTGCATACTGTGGCGCCTCCAAGCACCATTAGCTTCTGGCTAGGGACCCCATTTCCAAATCCAAGGACATTGCTACAAAACAGTCTCAAAGTTTCAGTTTTAAGTCCTCTGAGTTTATCTTCTCACTGTGATATATTATTACAAGTTAGTCTAATAGATGAGAACTATAATAAAAAAAGAAAATTACATAGTTAAAGATATTTAAAAGACAATATAAAGTTATATATATTTTTATATTTTGCATATTCTTTCCCTATTTTACCTCCAATTGTTTGGGACGACTATATCACTGTATATCTTTAACAATCTAGCTTAGCCTAACTACTGTAATCAATGTCTTCCATTACCTTTTAGTTTGAATTGCATACTCCTTGATGTTTTAAAAGGAATTATAATCACTTTATATCTAATCAAGTAAATTTTATACAGCGTTTAAAATGACTTAATAGCTATCTAGCTTAAAAGTTACTCAAAATAAACAGTGATGTCATAAAAAAGGGGATATAGGAGGTACACAGCAGCTTAGTTAAAAAGTGGTTAATGGAAACTGTTACTGTAAATGTCTGATTGCCCAAAAATAAACTAAATAATCTTCAAAATCCTGATAAACAAACTTTACCACATTCCCCTCATCAGGAGTTTTTAGGGCGTTGATCTAGCAATTTACTTAGACAATAAATGCTGGTTCTGCTTTGGGTTCTGGATGTTTTTTTTTGTTTATTAGTTACTTATTACTTAGTAAAGATTAGTGGAAGGGTAAAAACATTTACTGTGATATATGTATATGTTGTTGTTTTTTTTTTACTACAGAAGGAAAGTAAGATCAAACTTGGTAACAATGGCAGCCAATGCATTAAGCAAATCAGCAGGTTGAATATGTGCATTGAATTTCTAAATATAAATTATTAACAATGTTTAATGCTGCATGAAGATATTCATGACGTTGTATGAAGTGACTTTATGAAAAGTTAAACACCCAGAGATGCTTTATTCATTTTTTTTCTTCCTTTCTTCCTTTTTTTTTTTATACAGGGTGGCAATTCTGATGAGCCATGTGCAGGCCGGGACTGCAGCAGAGGGTGTAAGTGCATCCCAGAGAAAGGCAGCAGGGTGAGTGAATCATCAGGTTGCTGAAATTAGTCTGTTTTAAACAAGCTACCAAAAGCTACATTTAGCTCATACAATGCTAATTTATAGTGGAGTATCTAATCATTCTCATGGTGGCAGAGTTGAAATTCTTTCTTTCCTTACTCATCTGTGTTGCAGATCTTAACTTCATGAAACCTAATAGAAATTTTCCCCTTATAAAGAGGTATTTGATCACAGCAGCAGACATGTAAATAGAACACAATTAAATATTGTGGTATTTGGAGTTTTATCACACATATCAATGGTATTTTATCTCTCCTTGGCATATTTGAGTAATTACCGAGTAACAGACAGCTAAACGATGTGGTTAACATTAATTTCCCAAAGATTTACTAGATTACACATCATCAGATAACTCTGTGAATATGAATGTCAGCACTCTTTGAAAAAGTTGATTGAGAAATATACATGTACAGAAAAATGATAGTGTAAGTCCAAAGCATCAACATAAAACATAAAAGTTAAAAGGAAATAATAAATTTTAATAGAATCAGTTATTTAATTGTTTTTTCCACAGGGCGTATGCTTTATTTGTAGAAGATACAAAGCCGCACAACTTTGTTTAATCATAGATCACACAATTATCTTTATTCCAGCAGGTTAAGGTACCTTATCTTTTCTGGGTTGAGGATAAGCTTTACCATCTATTAATTCAGATTCTTATCAATTTTTATCATATACATATGTACTGTATATACAGACACTATCGCCCACAAACATGAAAGTGTTGTCTTTACAGGTTTGCCAAATGCATGTTTCAACAATTCTTATCTGTGTGCTTTTTCCTCTCGGAGAGGGTATCAGATGAAATCAGAAGGATGTGTCGCCTTAGGCGATAAACTCATTTCGCTGTCAGTGCTACCATACAATTAGCATCAACAGTTGGTTGTAAAATCCAAACAAAGGTTTGCAGAAGGCGATATAAGTTGCTGATTGTTGAATGATTTTGCATTATTGGATCATAACCTGCAGATGTGCACAATGTTTTAACTTAGTCAGCTCTTGTGTCCTTAAGGAGCAACATTCAGAGCATTTGATACCACTGATTTACCACAGGAGCTGGCAGTGACAGTTGACAGAAAGGTTTTCTAGGTGATTTCTGTCTCACGACGAAGCTACTACCTTGGATTATAATTTTCTTTGGTTCACAGTGAGGGGTGTGGATTGTATGGGGATGACCTTCTTTTTACATGCTATAAAAGGTTCTTTCAACATAGAAAAGGATTAGAAAAGCTTCATCTTACATAGTTCACTTTCAGCTGTCAACCCCTCTTGGACTTTTTTCCCCATTATTTACTCAATCTTGTCAACACTCCAGGCAAACGTTTAAGTATAGTGATAGTTAAAATGTTATGTATGGTTTTTGAAATTATTATTATTATTGTTAGTAATCTTCTTTCTTACCTGTAAAAGAAAGCTATTGAGACTATGGGCCGGATCTATCAAAGGTTTGCGTGTATAAAAACGTGAGCTATTTCACTGCGCACGCTAAAAAATGTACAAACTGATCTATCAACAGCGTGCTAAAAGGATTTGGTCTTTAAAACGTGCTAAATAGCGCCTCTTATCCATTTAGTACTTTTTCTGCAATGAATATGCAATATGGGGCGTTTACACGCAAAAGTGCGTCTTGTGGGAGGAGAACATGTAAATATATTAATTTAGCACTCGCAAAGTGATTTATCAAACCTAAAAGCAATTTTGCTAACGGTATCTGACTCTATATTTAACACGTTTCAAAACAAGCTGCAAATGGTCTGTATGCGTAATTGCGCACACATGGCAGCGGTTATTTCCGCAAGGAGACATTGAAATGAAGCAAGAAGATGCAGATAACGCATTTTTTCACTCCGTGTGAATATTTTTGGAATGAACGAGGAAACGATCAAAACATATCGTTTATCCAGCATTGACATTTTGGAGCTGCAATTCCATTGATTTGCTCCTCACAGAGCGTCAGCTGTACTTGTTCCTCAATGCTGGTCAGAGGCATCTCATCTACTGTGCCCCCTCCTGTTTTGTTTGCAGATGTTTTGCTGTATGCCAGTTTTTCTTTGGTTCGCCTTCTAATATCCTGGTATCTTCTTTTTACTTCATCCACTGTTCGCATGGTTTCACCAACAGCGTTTACTTTATTACAGATTTGTTCACATATAGCGTTCCTCTGTGTGACAGTCACACTTTTTTGCTGTAGTTCACTTAAATGTTTGTTGGCTTCATCCACCAATACCTCCATTTCCATGGGGTCGAATTTCCTTTTGCGCTTTCTGCTGTCCAAACTTGCCATGCCGCAAACCACCAAACGCGCAAAACCATCATTTAAATAGGGTGTCTCCAACAGTTTTGCACCTGCCACCAGTTACGCAATCGCTCTTGTTAAATCACCCGCAAACCATGGTTCAGCCCCTCGCGCAAAATTCCAGTTTGCGAGCGCAAATTACTGCACGCAAAATTGGATCTTGATAAATCCGGCCCAATGAGTGTCTTTAAAGAACCACACAAATCTTAAAGGATCCACCTTAAATCCTTTTAACATCACCAAAGTGTCTCTTCTTATAGGTAGGGTATAGATGCGTGTGAAAATATTGCCCCAGATTTCAGGAAAAGAAGAAAGATTCTATACGCATTTTGATTAAGAAGTCAAAAACTATAAATATCAACTAAAAATTTTGGAAGATTGTGGAAATAATCAAGGTTCTGCGCTTTTACAAACATTCATTTCTGTTCTAAGGAACCCTTACTTATTGGGAGCCACTTTTTTCAACTTTGTCACAATTCATGACTAAAGCAGGAAAGTAAAGTCCTGCAGCTGTCCACTGCTCAGGAAATGCTACAAACTCCTATCAAAATGTCCTTAGATTCCAATCACCACACCTCTGAGGGTTGAGGAGGTCAGAATGGACACCTGCACTGACAATGGTAATGGTGTGAGAAGTGAGAAAAGAATTAAATATTACCCCAAGGCCATTCCAAAGAATGTTGCTCTTAATGGCCTCAACATCTTCAGGCAGATAGTCTAAAAGAAACGGCATCCTCTTGATTCCATCTAAGGAATCCATAGAGGAAGTCAATTTCTTGAGTGAGATGCAGAAAAAGAATTGGTCAACGAAAAATTGTTAAGTGATCTGGTACAACCGATGGAACAGTTTGGCCACAGTTATGAAGGCATCTATGATCAAGCACAGCTGAGGAATATGATGCTTTGGAGATTATTGTTTAAACCATTAGGATAGCAAAATGTATTAATAGAAAATGACATAATTAAAAAGAAGTCCAGTTCACATTTATTGAAAATTACATCTAGTATCCTGCAGAGAAACTTATTCTTGGACAAGACTGGATATTTTAGCGACCCCAAAACCAGTAAGGTGGATATTAGATGTAGATATTAGATTAGATATTAGATGTTCTTGAAGAGAGAGAGGTGGACAAAAATGATCTGCTTTGGAACTGGCCAGCCAGAGTCTGGACTTGAATAGTAAAGCGTGTGGTTGCTGGTTCTCTTTCCAACCAAGTAGCAGCACAGCAAACTGCAGTCATCTCATCAAGTGAGTCCAGTCTTAAAATGATGACTTGATGAGATGACACCCCTGTCCTACAGAGTCTCTAAGGCTACAGAATGGTGGAGAACTCCCCAGTGTTCATCAGAGATGTAGGAATAAAGTCAAAGTAAAGCAAAAAATGTACAGTTAAACAAAACCACTAGTTTTTTCTAGTAAATGAGCCAGAAAGAAAGTCAGACACTAGAAGAGTAACATTAATCAGATAGTTTTTTAATAAGAGGGAGGTCTTGTTTAGATGAACGGATGAAGGCTTTGTCACAGACACCTGAGGAGACATTGAGAGTTGTCAGGGTAAATATGGGGTAAGGTCAGAGAAATGGCAGGAATAACTCACGACTACAGGCTTTGAGTTCATCAAAAAGATGAATGTTGACACACCAGTGGAGACATGACAAAGGCTGGTTGCTGTCATAGCGTAAAGATCTTCAGTTATTTATAGATAGAGCAATTAATCCTCTTTGACAAGGATTTTTAAGAGTAAATGTTAATTAAATTGAGATTTTGCCATAGAAATATTCTACTTAACCATCTTATTATTCCTTCTATTATGCAAATGTCTGGGCCTGTCAAAGACCAACTTCTTTGCTTAATAGAAATAGCTTTATCCCTTTTGTTCAACCATATATTGTTGAACCTACAGTACTTTCTGACCATGGCTTTTACCTCCCAGGCTGCTAAGATCATAATCATGTAACAAAGAGATTAAGCCATTTGGTCAATACTTCCTTTTTTGTTTATCTGTGAAGATTCTCAGTCAACCAGGTCATGGTCAAGCTTGAAAAAGTTCAGTCCAGACAACTGGACGTGCAACGTCTTCTAAAAAACTTCACGTCTGAACTGAACTGGACTGAACTTTTTTATGCTTCATTTTTTTGTATATCGAATTTGATCAAAATAATACATACAACCAAAACAGAGTAAATATTTGTCCTCCTTTTCCGATCTTCTACCTATATGTAAAACATGAAATGCAGCCAAAAATAAGTGTTTTGTTCCTCAGCTTGGGAGATAGCTGAAAAACCATGTTAAAAAAGGGGACATGTTTCAAAATTACAAGGAGTATTATATTTATATCGACTTCTAAAAGCAGACTAAAACCAGACTACGTGTAAGCTTCACACTGTTGCTTGCCCACCCCCCCCCCCCTTTTAGGTAGCATCTAAACAACAATTACTGTCTGACACAGAAACCTACACTTACTGCCTGCCTATGAGCACCATTTTAGCTAAATAACATAGTGACGAGCGGCCCATTACACTCAGGTACCTGTAGGTAAATGATCAGGTAACTGTAGCTGACTCTGTTCAGGCCTCCTGTTGGGCCTAAATGACACAGCCACAGCTACATTACATTCTTTGACTGTGATTGTTTGGAGTCCCCTTAAGGGTAAGGTGCTTA